CATCCTATCACATTTTAGAGGTAGAAATTTAAAGCAACTCTGCATCAGGAAGCTGAGCTCACCATTTGGCCTCCATTCCTTTGCCATCAATCTTCTTTCACTCTTATCTTCATTTATAGACTCACAGAATCACAGAGTTGGAAGGGGCCATACAGGCCATCTAGTCCAACCCCCTGCTCAATGCAGGATCAGCCGAGAGCCGAGAGCATCCCTGACAGGTGTTTGTTCAGACGCTGCTTAAAGACTGCCAGTGAGGGGGAGCTCACCATTGCTGCTGTTCATTCTCCTTTGTTACATATATGCTTTAAGAAGGAAGAAAGTTCTGCACACTCTCGTATGACTGCCATAGGTTTCTCATTTGGTCATTTACAAACGGAGAATGTGAGAGCTGTGGCTTCCTGTGTGGGGCTGAATTTAGAGTTGATATCCAAAAGAAAAACCAGTAATTTGCAGCATCTTTCTCCAGCTCTCCCCACTCACTGTCAATTGGAATTTTTTATATCTTAGCCTAATACCACCATTGCACCGAATACTCTATTTCACTTTGTATATCTTAGCCTAATACCATTGCACCGAATACTCTATTTCACTTAAGAATGGCTAATATTTTGACCATATATATCAGGCTCTTAAGTGAGATAATGTCAAACTTCTAAGAATTAATTTTTTTTTTGAAAGAATTATGGGAATACTAAATAGTAACTGGGAGCTGCGGTGGCTCAAGTGGTTAAGACACTGAACTGAAGGCTGTGGAAGGTCGGTAGTTCAGCAGTTCAAGACCCGAGTACATGATGGAGTGAGCTCCCGTCTCTAGTTCCAGCTCCTGCCAACCTAGCAGTTCGAAAGCAAGAAATTGCAAGTAGATAAATAGGTACCACTTCAGTGGGAAGGTAACAGCGTTCCGTGCGCCTTGGTGTTTAGTCACGCCGGCCACATGACCATGGAAACTTCTTCGGACAGCGCTGGCTCTTTGGCTTTGAAACGGAGATGAGCACCACAACCCTAGAGTTGGATTTGACTGGCTTTCAAGCAAGCGAACCTTTACCTTTAAGTAGTAACTAAGAATCATGGGTACAGAGTCTCTTGTGTGAAAAAGGCCAAGAACAAGTACTAACTGTGAAAAGAGAACCTACCCCCCATGGAAGTGAGGAGGATACAAGGAAATGCTAATTGTACAATGGACAGAAACATAACAGAATAATTACCATTATATCCAAAGAGATTAGGGACAGTGTACTTAGTTATATCATATTCTCTGAACAACCCTGAGACGCAGGTTAGAATGAAAGACAATGACTTGTAAAAGGCACTGAAAAAATTATTTCTCAGGGAGGGGTGATGGCTCAGTGATAGAGCATCTGTTTGGCATGCAGAAGGTCTAAGGTTCAATCCCCGGCACCTCCAGTTAAAAGGATCAGGTAAGAGGTGATGGGAAAGACCTCCGCCTGAGTCCCTGGAGAGTTGCTGCCAGTCTGAGTAGACAATACTGACTTTCATGGACCGAGGGTCTGATTCAGTACAAGGCAGCCTCATGTCTTCTCCTCTAGGTGTGATTGTCTCACAAAATCTCCATATTCTAATTTTTATTTTGCCTTGACACTACATGGTAAAATCAGAGATCATGGTAATCACACAGCCAAGTCAGCATGGCCTTTGGAAGTGAGGAACTCCAAACCACATTAGTTCAACCTGTATTTCAACATCTAAAAATGGTTCCATGAGCTGTGTTTATTTTGGAAAACCTTTATCTTTACATATGTGTGCAGACTACAGCTAAATTCTAGATCCATGATTAAACGCACGGGCCAGTGTTCCCTCTAAGCTGAGTTAGTGTGAGCTAGCTCACAGTTTTTTAGCCTCCAGCTCACACATTTTTGTCTTAGCTCAGGAAGGATGGCTCCAGAGCAAACTAATTTATGCAGTAGCCAAATCGCTCGCTCACAACTTTAATGCCAGCAGCTCACAAAGTAGAATTTTTGCTCACAGGACTCCACAGGGAGCATTTCTAGACCCATTAACATGACAGAGAGTCAGTGTGGTGTAGTGGTTAAGAGTGGTGGACTCTAATCTGGAGAACTGGGTTTGATTCCCCACTCCTCCGCATGAAGCCTGCTGGGTGACCTTGGGCCAGTCACAATTATCTCAGAATTATTTCAGGCCGCCCCACCTCACAAGGTGACTGATGTAGGTAGAGAAAAGTGGGGTATAAAAACCAACTCTTCTCTGGCCTTGAGACCTTGCAGAATCAGGATAGTATAAGCAGGCAAAATGGACCACTGTCTGAGATACAGGGTAATGCATAGATCAGAATATATCAATACAAATATCCTAGCTCGTCAGTGTGATCCTGTTGATTTACTGGCTTGATGCCATAATAAACTATCTAGATCTAGCTCCTAGCGTTTATGACAGATCCCCAGGCCCTTTTAATAGATATAGATCATAATTCCTCCCATAATACCCTAGATCAACCTATTGTTTTACATATATCCCAATAGCCTACCTTTTAACAACTATTAATGGATGACTCAGAGGAAACCTGGTGGAAGCAGAGGCATTAACAGAATGATTCATCCACCTCCTGTTATTCATTCCACTATTATGCATATCCTGAACATGAAAGATATTGATTAAAATATATAATTTACTGGGCACTGCCTAATTTTTCTTAAACTATTTATACTAGTTTTTGTAGTATAAATTTATCTTTTGGTTTTAAATCATACAAGCTAACTTCCTGTAATGTAACGGTCTTCTTTAATTCGTCCTTTAATTCGTATCAGAAGTCTTGCAAAAACTTTTTGTCATATTACTTAACTGGAACTCTGAATATAAGCTTTCCAAACACAAATATAAGATAGTAGCAGGCTGATTGTACGAACATCAAAGCTGTGTGGCTTTCACATCGTTAGCATTATAAACTCCACACCTGGCTGAATTTGACGTAAGATTTCATTTGATCTTTGTTGGTGAGATCCAGTGCTACAAACCCAGGTTCCCGTTGCAGTACTACCCAATACATACAGATTATCAAAATGAAACTGACGGGCGGTACAATAACTATTCTATGAAGTGGGTTTTCAAGTGAAATCAGTTCACCAACGTGTGTTTCAAGTAACTAAAACCGTCAGGTTGGATACAGCAAAGGATATCCTCAACCTTAAAACACACCTCAAGTTGCAGAAAAGACGAAACTAGTTAAATTGTCCCTAAAATCGCTTCCTCGAACTCTCCGGGCAGAATGCAGAGGCATGTTAGGCTCCGCTCACTTCCATGCAGGGCTGTTTGAGCTCCAGCCACTTTGACAGAGACCGCAGAAATCTCCAACCAGACCGGAAGCTCAGGGACCTGTATCTCTCTAGTCTCTATCTCTATGGTTTTTCGTTCCACGACGGACCAAGGAGGATGGGTGGAGTCTGATGGTGTCCCGCCTAGACGAGCCGAAAGCCACTCTCCTCCCTTCGTTCCTGCCAACTGATACTTTGTGTAAGGAGCCCGCTCTCGCTTATCTGTGAAAGAAACAAAAGATAGCGCGGAGAGAAAAGCGGCATGCACCTACAGAATTTCAGATCAGGCAGTGGGGAAAAACAGCAACAAAGAAACACTGTATTCTCTGAAGAGCAAAGGAGATTTAAGGGTTGCTTGTTCCTTGCGCTTGAAACCAACGTCCCGACCACTATCCACTTCTCAATCTTGAAGGAAACGAGAACCGGAAAGCCAGGCGTGTTCCTGAGAGCGAGAGCGGGCGGGCCGACGAAAGTCTAGAGACTCTGGCCGGTAACTTCCAACTAGTCAGCCCGCCCGCCTCCGAAAGAAAAGAAAAGAAGAAAAAGAAAAGGAGGAGGAGGAGGGGGGGGACTTTTGTGCGTCGCTTGAGAATGAGGCTCCCGCCTGCCCCACTCGTCGGTAGAGCCTGGAGGAGCCCCGCGTGGAAGTCGCCTCGCTGCTGAGGGGCAGAGCGAGAAAGAGAAAGGAGAAGAAGAAGGGGGCGAGTAGGAGGGAGCCCGCTCGACAGGACCGACCGACTGACTGACTCTCCTGCCAGGCCGACTGTCTTCCAGGTCCCTTTTCCCCACGCTCGTTTGCTTTGCTGGGAACCGACCCTCTCCTTGCTGCCTCGCGGACAAGGTTGCCTTTTGGTTCGCGCCCGCAGGAGGCATTGAGCGCCCCCCCTCCCTCCCCCTCAGATCCCAGCCGACACCCCCACCCCCCGTACAGTTCAACGCTTCCGTTTACAAGCGGAGCCGCACGCACAACTCCTTCCCTCTGCCCCGTCCTAGGATTTCATCACCGGATTTAATATCCTTTCTCTTTCACCCCCCCCGGTCCATTCTGGACTCCTTTTGGCTCCCATCTTTCTCCCCCATGGCTGAACCCCGGACTTTGCCTCGGTCCTGCCTCTGGCCCTCATTACCCCTCACCCCACCTTTCGCCAGGACTCCATGTGCTTAATCCGACAATCTCTCTACCAACTCTCACTGGCGCTTCCGGGAAGAAAAAATAAAGAATTGACCACCCCAAGCACTCTCTCCTTCCAGAAGCCACCCCCGCCCATTCCCTTTCCAAAATATTTTTCTACTTTGAACCTTGTGGCGTTATGAGGTCTTTTCTTGGATTACTCTCCCAAGTTTCCCGCTGGAACAAGAAGAGGCTGTTGTGGCTACTGCTTTTCGTTTTTTTGACTGCATTGTAAAGGTTTTTTTTTTAAGGTTTGCAGCGAGATAAAGCTCGGAATGTTTTCCACTCTTTTGGACCTGCCAGAGGAAACGGGGAACGAACCAGATGAGTGGAGATCTTTGTAAAGCCTTTCCTTTTGTGGGAATGCCAGCTGTTCTGAATTATTAAAAAGTAGGGAGAGAAATATTCAGAGCAGTTGATACTAGAACTCGGGTTTGAGTGGATTCCTGAAGATTCATGACAAGCTGAAACTACAAGTTGTGTAGTTCTAGAACGATTCCCCCCCCCCTTCCCCTACGAATCTCTACAAGTGGAGAAATAGGATGACATCGCGTGTGGATCCCAGGATTAAACAAGCATTGCGGAAAAAACCATCAGAAAGAACTCAAGAGGTATCTCATCTTCTTGCTTATTTAAGCGTTACGGATGTTTCACACCAGCACTTTTTAACATGGCTGTTACTTCCATATAGGAAATTGCATGGAACCCACTTGTGACACAGTCACACGTTTCTGTTTTGTTTTGCTTATTCTGTGGTCCAAGACTGCTGGTAGCAGGCTTCTGTGCCAGGCATGTGGGATTCAAACGTGTGTACTCTCCTGTGTCCCTTAGCATTTCCTTACAGAAGGCCTGTCATGTAGTGAACTTTCTTATATGATTCAGCCCTTATCCAGACTTATTTAACAGCCTGATTTTGTCCTAGTGCAAAGTCACGATGCAACTATTTATCTTTTTTTTGTCTTTTAAATGTGTTTTGCCACTGACTAAATGCCTTGCAGGCTCAGTGGCCTTCTGTGAATTTAACACTTAAGTTTATTTCCTGGGCCAAGAAACATTTAGAAGAACCTTTAGCCTGCTTGTTTCAGTCTTAAAGAATGGTGATGGAAAAACCAGTTATTTGAGCACAAGATAAAATCATAGTTTAAAACTCATGTATCATGCTAGTATAATATTTCTTACTGAGCTGGTTAGCTGATATTTGTTAAATTGATAAATGTACAGTGCAAACCTGTGCAGAATTTTTTCCATCCAAACCCATGGGTTTAGAAGTAACTCTGCATAGAATTGTATTACCATTCTTCTAGAAATATGGTTTGGGTTAAAAAAGGCTTAGCTGGGAACTAGAATTACTTTGTGAGTGTAGCTTACATAAGACCAGTGTTAATGGGGGTTTGTGTTGTACTCACTGCCTGATTTTTTTTTGTTGTTATTGGTAAGTTTGAGTGGAGTCTCTTGAATCATTTGCATTTCCAAGTTATTTCCAGGTTATGATTGCATTTGAAAGAGAAAAAGAGAACAGTATTGGGAGATAACCATTTTCAGTTGACAGTGAACAACAGTGTTCTCTGTTGATGTTTCAGTTAGTGAAGATTCCAGGACCAAGGGCTTTTTACAAAATATATTAAAGTTACTAACCATAGGTTTGTCCTATGCCTTATTTTAATGCATAGGACAAAGTTATGCTTAGTTGACCTTAACCAATCTTGTGTGCTTTTCTTGCTGTTATTCCTCTTACAACTTTTAAATATTCTGTGCTTAGAGACTTACAGTGAAGTCAAAGGATTTAGAAGGGTGTAACACTGTTTAGGATGGCACTATTAGCATCACTTTAAAAATATTTCCTGTTGACCGAACTGGCTTTATTTTGTTTTGCGGACAGTGCTTGTATGAGGCATTGCTTGTAGATGTTGTCTTTTAAAAACATTTTTATTGTTAGTGTGCTTTCTAATTTTTATTTTAGTCCAAACATTGACTTCCCCCAGTTCTTAATGCATAAATCTGGATGCAAGTTATTACATTTATTGCTAGCAACCATGCTTATGTTGAGTTTTATAGTCAGCTAGGCCATTGGTCCCCCAACATGGTGACAACCAAGTGTTTTTTAAAAGTGGATGGGGCCAGGCAGGGCTTCTGAGTATCTGATGTTGACAGTGGCTTTGTGTACAATACTTTACCTGTGTGACTAGCAGAATGATATTCTACAAACACAGTGGGACTTGCTTCTGACTAAACATGATAGGGTTACATGACTGAAATGCTTAATTAACTGGAACTTTTATTGAAGTCTTCAGATCTTCCAGATTTGAAAGTATTTTTATAAATCAGGTGGAAGTTGATAATAGGATCATATCAAATTCTTGTCACTTTCCCAAAGTCATTTATGTTCCTATCAATCTTTCCAGACTCTCTCTTACTGTACACATGTGCAAGGAGCTCTCACTAACTCTTCAGCACCAGCAATCACTGTTATAAATAATAGTGCTGATTAAAAATGGCTGGGTTCATGAGCAAAGGGCTCAGGTAAAGGGGATAGCTGGGACAGCCTTTTGCATAGATGCATTAGAAGCCTACAAAAAGATACTGCCAGATAAGCGTTTCTTAGCTATCTCAATACGTGTACTTATTTGTGTATAGGCCGGATTTTTTTTTAAACAATGCACATTTTATATGTTATCCTGTTAAACAGAGATTCTGCCTGAGATGTTCAACAGCTACTATTGTAGCAATGTATATCTCACTCCCTGACATTTTGTTGTTGGCTCTGCCTTCTGTGGCAGCCATTTTGTAGTTCTTTCCACCAATCTCTGTTGAAGTGTCAAAGGTCCATGGCTCAAAAAGGTTGGGCAGCCCTGGACTAGTGTTATGCAGGCGTGGAGTGATTTTTATTTTCAACTATGTCTTTGTTTTGTTGCATTTCCCCCTTAAATTATTATGTTCTTGAAACTCTTGTAATACCTTGTCTGACCTCTTGAGAGTGGTGTGAAAACTGAAGGTACAATATATAAAAGTGAGTTTGTTGCCTCAGTGCTCCTGACTTTAATATTTGGTTGCTTTATGCTTGATATATGAATGTCCTGTCAAAAGACAATTTCAGGTGATTTCAAAAGCATCTTAAATTCATTCACAAATTTAGAACAATGGACCCCCCAGACTGAACAGTGACATAGGTGTCTTATTTCACTTCAGGTGTCTTATTTCACTTCATGTGCTAATTTTCTGCCCCATATCACTTCTCCCCTACTCTAATCAAGCTGATCATATTTTGCATTGTACCTTTGCATCGTGACTTCTATGCAACACCCCTCCCTCCTTTTGACTGGGATATAAGGGCTCAGGGATGTGTCTCCCTTTGACTCTTGAGGCTTAAACCCTGGAAATCTTGTCTTTAAGGAGCTACTGGACTGGAATCTTGCCCTGTTAAAATACAGAATTCTGTCTTGATAATTTTTTTAATCAAAGCATTTATAACTTCTATAATAGAAAACCCAAAGATTTCAACAATATAAAATAGCCCCAATCTACTGGAATTTGAAACAGCAATATAACTGTTGTATACACACTGACCTGAATGGCTCAGGCTAGCCTGATATTGGAAGCTAAGGAGGGTTGAGAGACTACCAAGGAATTCCGGGGGGTTGAGAGACTACCAAGGAATTCCAGGGTCACTATGCAGTGGAAGGCAATGGCAAACCACCTCTGTTAGTCTCTTGCCTTGCAAACCCTATGGGGTTACCTGAAGGCACCTGGGACTTGACAGCATTTACACACAAACCCATGCTTTTGTACAAACCAGATAGGATGAGCAGTTTCCAGATAGCTGTGAGGAGAATATTGTTTTAACCTGTGGCCACTAACTCCTGTTGGGTAGTCATTTTATGTGCTTGTGGGTCAAGTATGCTTTAAAATTGCAATTTAAGTCAGAGAAACTTTATGTTTAGCAGAAGGGTGATTCAAAATTGAAAAAAAATACAAGGAACCGGGATGACCAAATGTAACTATGGGAACAAAGCAGCATTCAGCTTTGTGCAGAGATAGGGTTGGAATAAACCCCAGAGAAAGCTTATATGGAAATAATGGACCAGTAGCTGGTCAGTCATTCCAGCACAGAATAATGACTTTATGCATATGAAGAAATAAGAAAGAGTCAAAACCCAGGTTCCACCATTTTTTAACTACAAGTGTCTCTTTAAATAAACAAATGGACAGTTCCTTCACCAGTGTCCCTTCAAGTTCATGTATACAGCGGGACAATAGTTTACTAAATCCCTGCTGAAGTAGAAATGTTCTGTATATGAAGTAGTGATTACATGTTTTTCCCCCTTATGGAGCTCTTCTGTTATGAAGCACACAAAAATCAAACCCACCTGATCTTTTTCTCTCCTTTTAACCTGAGCTAGTATGACTGTTCCCAGTTCAGTTGGCTAATGGTTTAGGAGTTTTTTTGCAAGCCTTTCCCGCCCAGCTGAGACGATTGATTAAATAATGTGCAGTAAGAGTCTCACAGAGGACTGGGATTTATTGAGAATATGTATAAATGCATTTATGTATCAAAATATTTGTCAGCACACCTGCCTATAATGCTTGCATAATATTGCTGCAACATTGCATAAGATCATGTTTCCTGATGTTTTGCTGGTGAAGCTGCTATGATATATTCTGAGTAGGTAGGTGATGGCAAAGCAAGTTGTGTAAATAAATACTACATATGCAGTTTATTTGTTCTTAGCCTGTACAGTATAATACTTATTTGTTAGCTAAGAAGAATACTATTACTTGAAATGTAAAACTAATTGAACATTTTGAAGCCCTGATGGGAAAGATGGGAATAGAATGTTTTTGAACTGGACATATGGGGGGGGGAGGGAATGAAATACAGGGAATATTTCTTATCAAGCCTATTTCAGTAACATACCATATACATAAATTTGCTCATTGTACTATTTGGCCTTTTGAAATTAATCATGTATATATGCAGTGTTAGGGAAAGCTACAAGACACTGCACATCTAAATACATTAGTTTTTGCTTTTTTATTAAGAATAAAAGCTGAAAATAGAAACCATCGACACTGTAGTAAACAAAACGGGAAGTTTTATTATGTGCTCTTTAAAAAACCAATGGCCTGGATCCAAGGATCCGCCCAAGTAGCACTGCATGCCTAAGAGGCTTTGGGATTGTGTTTCTTGAACTCCCTGTTTTCTCCTTATGGCAAACCTCTTTTGCAACTGATGAGAGTTTTGAAAGCATGGGAGTCTGCAGTTCAAGGGGTGGAGGAAGATCCCAAGAGGGAGCACATCTTCAGAAGCTTCTTTTGATTTTGGCCATTACTTAGTTCTCTGTGTTACAGTGCAGGAGCATATTTTAAGGAAATCCCTATGATAAAAGAAAGAACATGCAGTTACATTTCTGAACATTTCTGACAACACTGAACTCCTTTATACCACCAACTTCCTCCTGCTACACAGGCTGCAGTCCTGTGCATTCATACCTGAAAGTAAGCCCTGTTGAACTCTGTGAGACGTGCTTTTGAATAAACATGTAGTCTCTAACTACAGAAAGAAAAGTATCTTGAATTTCATTACATTATATCGCACTGTCCCAATAAAGTCCTT